GTAGCCACCTTTGCTGCCTGTTCTGCTTTTGCTATGTTGCTACATGGGGTTGTACATCTGTAATCTGCCATGCCAGAAATGTTTGGTTTTCGCTTGGTAGTGAGTGATTCCTACATACGTGGAGCTCTGGGCTGAATAGACAGTAAGCATGATTTTACAGCCTCTTTAACTGAGTTATCTTAAAACTGAGTTCCTTATTTGTTGGGCTTTCTCCAGTGATCACTGATGCTTTTGCCTTGCAGGGAGGGTTCAGGATTGTTTTGCAGCTGTGATTCCTGCAAGGGGTTGTCTGGACAGAAGTGCAATGCCAGTTTTAATCTGGAAGCAATAGTGAAGATATGCAGCCGTGGAGTGGCTGGAGTCTGTATGGGTGTGCTGACCTGTATGGCAGTGAGACCTTATTCACTGTGAAGACAGACCTTTGTCCCTTTCAGGGCTTAGCTGATAGAATCATAGAATCATTAAGGTTGGAAAAGACCTCTAAGATCATCGAGTCCAACCGTCAACCCAACACCACCATGCCCACTAAACCATGTCCCTAAGCGCCTCATCTACATGTCTTTTAAATACTTCCAGGGATGGTGACTCAACCACTTCCCTGGGCAGCCTCTTCCAATGTTTAACCACTCTTTCAGTAAAGACATTTTTCCTCACGTCCAATCTAAACCTCCCCTGGTGCAACGTGAGGCCATTTCCTCTTGTCCTATCGCTTGTTACTTGGGAGAAGGGACTGACACCCACCTCGCTACAACCTCCTTTCAGGTAGTTGTAGAGAGCGATGAGGTCTCCCCTCAGCCTCCTCTTCTCCAGGCTAAACAACCCCAGCTCCCTCAGCCGCTCCTCATAAGACTTGTTCTCCAGACCCTTCACCAGCCTCGTTGCCCTTCTCTGGACATGCTCCAGCACCTCAACGTCCTTCTTGTAGTGAGGGGCCCAAAACTGAACACAGTATTTGAGGTGCGGCCTCACCAGTGCCGAGTACAGGGGCACGATCACTTCCCTACTCCTGCTGGCCACGCCATTTCTGATACACAATATTTCTGATACAGGCCAGGATGCCATAATCTCTTTTCCCCAAGTCATGAAGGTGGTAGGCGATATAGAGCTACTTGAGATGGAGCTGTTCTCATGTGCTTTTTCTTTGTGCAGATGAAACTTGCTTCTGAAATTATCCTCCCGTAAGCCTTGGATAAGTAGAGCCTCTCCTTTGCCATGGTCTGGGCAACACCGAGTTGTCTGAAGCCAGATTCCAGTAAATGTTAGGGAGGAAAGTCCTGAGGGCCCAGTGGAAGTAATTGTGACCTCTCATTGAGAGGTCTTTCCAAAGTATAGTAATTCTAGGGATGCTTCAGATACCCAGCAACCCCTGAAATCTCCAGTGCTGTTGAGAATATCTCCATCCCTATGAAGCATCTGTGCCCTCTGCACCTCTTGCTATCAACTCGGGAGCCTTCGCCCCTGCAGTGCACACCTGAGCAAGAACGGCTGCTCATTCACCCTTGCGTGTAGCCATATAACAGACTTTGGGAGCAGTTTTGCCATCTTGTGTGCCTGCAGGCACAGGTCAAGAGAGCAGGCTTTGATTCACAAAGCTGCGCTGAGTTTGATGCCTGACTCCCTCAGCAGGACCCTTTATTCCCTGCCCTCCCATGGTGAAGAGTTTTGAGCTCACAGCTCCCAGGCATAGAAGGTGGGAAAACCTTCAGTCCACACTTTTGCTGGCTTCGGCTCTGGTTCACCCACAACTCCTGGCTGTGTTTTTGTCACTACTCAACTGCAGCCTCTGGTTCCTAGGGTCCCCCATCGGGCAGGTCTGTAAAAGGAGCACGTTCATGAGGCAGCCAGCTGACAGCCCTGCTTTGCAGCTAAGCCCTGGCCAAAGCTGTGCAGTTAAGGAGGAGTTAAGCTTGGCATCTTCAGCTACTGATTCTGCCCAGCAGTTTCATTTGCTTACAGGATTTTTTTCCTTTATGTGTGGGTTCTTGAGTGCTCTGGGAGCCCTGCAACACCCAGACTCCAGCAGCCAGGCAGACCCATGTTTCAGAAAGGAATTGTGTAATTTCTGCTCTTGTAAGATCTTCAGTATGCTTTCAGAGTGCTCAGGCAGAAAGGTGCTATAGAAGTGTAGTCCCTCCTCCTGCTGCTGCTGCTGCTGCTAGAGTGTCTGCAGACAGAAAGGATTTACTGTGTCTGCAGTTTAATTCAGCAGCAATTTCGGTGTGATATTAGCAGCTAGAAACATTAGTCTTTTTCTCCTCTGTGGATTTGCATATAGTAATTAGGAGCATATGTGGTGGGGGCTGGGGCAGAGGACAGCTGGTGGGGAGAAGGAGGAGCAGGTTCTAGCCCAGATCACCTCGGTGGATGCTCGTGAGTCATGGCCTATAAGTGGCTCCTGCAGAGTGCCACATGCCAGATGATGAGTCATGGAGAAAGAGAGCACAGAAATGGGAGAGACTGGTTCGGTCACTGTCCGGCTCCTGTGTTAGCTGGTATAGATCTGCTGTTTGAGCTATTTCTGATGTCTTCTGTAACTCAAAGTGCACAAAGCAGGTGGGGCTTCTTTTCCTCTGACTGGGAGACAATACCTGCCTCACGCTAGTTGTGTCCTAAGCAGGAATACACATACTAC